AACCTCAGGCACCCTCAGCCACATGACCTTTGACAAAGTGATCAAAAACACACTAAAGTAAAAGATTACCTTTTTAAAAAATGATGCTGTGGGGCCGGGGATTTAGCTCAGTGGTTCCACCGCCTGCCTCAAAGCGCAAGGACCTGAGTTCAATCCTAGGTACAAAAAAAAAAAAAAAAGTCCAAAAATTATGCTGTGAAAAAAGTTATCCTTATGCAGATGAATCCAACTCATGTGCTACTAAAATGAAACCATTTGGATCAAAGACCTTGATATTAAAACAGAAATACTGAATCTTCTGGAGGATAAACTAAGTAAAACCCTTAAAGATATCAGCATAAGCAAAGACTTTCTGGACAGAACACCAATCGCGCAAGAAATAACACCAAGAATCACCTACTGTGATTATATTTAATTGTTTAAAAAACATATGCACAGCAAAACAATCACCAGAGTGAAGAGACAATCTACAGAATGGTAAAAAAAAAAAAAGAAAAAACATGCCAGCCACTCTCTGGACAGAGGACTAATAACTAGACTATCTAAGGAATTTTTAAAAATGACACACTCATACAAATAAAAGACAATCAAAAATGGGCAATGGAAATAAATAGATACTTCTCAGGAGAAAAAGTATAAAAAAACAATAAGTACATAAAAAAATGTTTAACAACTTTAATTAATAGTGCAAATCAAAACAACACGGAGATTCCCTCTTACTCCCATAAAAGAGTAGCTATCATCACGAACTCCAAAACAGTAAATGCTAATGACCTTCCTCTTTAACAAGTTCCACATCCAAAATTCCTCATTGTGTCCAGAAATACCACCAGTAGGTCTCAATACAGATAATGCCATCTTTCCTGCAGGCAAAGAGATTTCTATAAAAGAATTTTAAGATCTGCAAATGTGTATCAACATGACCCAAAGTGGAGGGGTGAGGATGCTACATCAGTGGGTCTGGGGCATGACTTAGGGAATATTAATTGATGTGGAAACAATTGTAATGTAGGTTTTAGTGTTACGTGGAGTTGGGTGAATGTACTTCTAGTTTTTACTAGGGTAATTCTTTAAAACTTCAATATGACAAGATGGCTTCCAGTGAATAAAGTGGAGGTGCCAGACTTCTTTGGAAGAATAGAAGGCTCAGAGACAAATAGCACTTGGAAATGACTGATGTGTAAGCCTTAAGAACACGTACGGTAGAGAACACCCAGTGTAGTAATTCTTACACATTAACGTGCATCCCAAGCGCTGGAGGATTTTGTTAAAATGCAAATTCTCATTCAGCATATTTAGATCAGTGCATGAAATTGTGGTGATCTTATAGCAGCTACTCTCCATAAAGTGTCTAGCAGAAAACACTGTATTGCCTTTTTTAAGACTTTCACAGATACATTTGTGTAGGGGAGAGAAGGATGTGGGAGAAGTTTGCTGCTGCCTGTCCTCACAAGTCTGGGCTTGACAGAGAGACACTGTCATGTAACTAGCACCTTTTATACTACAGGGATAAACATAACCTAGAATGACAGGCTAAACTGATAATGATCAATCAGAGACCACAGTAAAAATAGGGTTGCCTTGACTTGTAAGAATCTAGGATGATGGCTAAAACATAATGATATTTCTATGCACAAGATGTCTTGGTAGCCAACCATTGTGTGGCTTGATTGGAATAATTAGAAAGAAATCAAGAGCTGGGCATGGTGGCACAAGCCTGTATTCCAGATTTGGGCCAGAAAACTGTTAGAAAAACCAAAAAGGATTCAAGAGACAGAGAATATATTTGTCTGGAAGCCAGGAATGGAGTGAAGTACTAAACTGATTCAAACCCCCAGATTTATTGAGGAAAAAGAAAACCATAGAGTTGTGCTGAGCACAGATGTTTGTTTTAGGTAGCGAGGCAGGCAAGCAAGGCATGGTGACAGTCTGGACAAAGAATTAACTTTTTTTTTATTGTCACCTCAGGAGCTTTTTTATTTTCCCTTTAAGGTCCATCTCTGTGTGAGTTGCCCAAACATCCTGTCTTTAAGATGTCTGGATCCTTGGAATTAGCAGTCTTCCACTTTCTGAGCAGACACTGACTTTTGGGTGTCTCAAGGAATCCTACACGTGTATAATCCCAGCTCTCTGGAGGCTAAACCAGGAGATTTATTGTGAGTTTGAGCCACTGCATAGCATGGTCTTATCTCAAAAGAAAAAAGAAGTAAGAAAGAAAGAAAGAAAGAAAGAAAGAAAGAAAGAAAGAAAGAAAGAAAGAAAGAAAGAAAGAAAGAAAGAAAGAAAGAAAGAAAGAAAGAAAAAGGGGAGAGAAGAAGAAAGAAGAGGAGGGAAGCCACGAAGGAAAATTAAGAGTCGCTCTTAACCCCTTCCATGAAAAATAACTAGCCTTAAGTCAGTTCCTAGATTTGAGTCAATTCAGCTCTAGAGCTGATTGACTCAAGAACTGACTCAAGAGCAGTCTGGATGCCCTTGAAGAAGGAACCTGAAAAGCCACTGTAGGAATACACAGAAAATAGTTCTCCAGTCTTCTTCCAAAATGCTAAAGCTACTTTGTCAGGATTAGTTTATGCACTGGAGAAGGTAAACTTCTAAAGTTTTTTTCTGAACTTGCCAGGTCAAAAATATCAATCCAATAGCTCCCAGATGACACAAAAAAAGAATAATATAAGATTGATAGGAGTCCACAAAAAAGCAGGAGAAAGTACAAGTGACATAAAAAATTGTTCACAGAATTAGTGAGAGAAAACTTCCCAAACAGAACAAAAGAACTTGACACACAGGTAAGTGAGACATATGACTCCAACTAGTCATGATAAAATAAAATCTATGCCCAGACATATAATAGTCAAGATCCCAGAAACCCAACAATAACAAAATATTACAACAAGTTAGAGAAAAGAAGCAAATCACATGCAACGGAAAGCCCATTGGATCACAGCAGACTTTTCAACACAAACCCTCAAGTCAAGGAGAGCCTGGAGTGAGGTATTTCAAGCCTTAAAAGAAAACAACCTCCAACCTAGACTGATGTATCCTGTAAAACTATATTTCAGGATTGGAAGGGAAATAAGATACTTCCATGACAAAGAACACCTGAGAAACTTCATGAATATCAGACCAGTGCTCAATACAATTCTAAACAATATCCTAGAAAAAGACAGTGAAGATCACAACTCCATGAGACCCAACAGAACAAATAAGGAGAAGAAAGAAATTATAGGGAGAGGGGAATAAATAAAAAAGAGCCAACAACAGAAAAATAGCACAATGATAATGATGAGAATAAGTCATTACATATCAGTTATAACTATTAAGATTAATGGCCTCAATTCATCAATCAAAAGAAATAGACTGGCAGAATGGATTAAGAAACAAAATCCAACAATATGCTGTATACAAGAAATGCACCTAGTTCAAAAAGAGAAGCATAGATTGAAAGCAAAAGGATGGAAAACAATTCTCCATGAGACAGGAACCCGCAAAAAAGCAGGGGTAGCTCTCTTATTTGCAGACAAAGTAAATTTCAAACCAAAATTAATTAAGAGAGACAAAGAAGGTCACTACATCCTAGTAAAGGGAACAATCCAAGAGGAAGAGATGACAATCATAAATGTATATGCACCAAATACTAATGCCCCAATGATACAAAACTAATATAAAGGGACATGAAAAACCACATAAGCACTAATGCAGTTGTAGTGGGGGACCTCAATACCCCACTGTTACAAATAGATGGATCATCTAGACAAAAAAATCAACAATGAAATACTAGAACTGAGCCAATCTTTTGAACAAATGGACTTAATAGACATCTACAGAGTGCCCCACCCCACAAAATCAGAATGTACATTATTTTGGGCTGCACATGGGTCATTCTTCAAAAAGTGGATGCACACTGACTGTACTCTTAAATGAAATTGATAGGATGCACATTTGTAAATACTGAATAATTTGTTTGGTGCGAAAATCTAAAATTATAAATAAGGTTCAAAATGTATTATGGATATTGTGCAACTGGAGGAAAAGTTCTGAATGAGTAGGAGAAGTAGGAAGGGTAGGGGAAAGGTAAGAAGGGAAAAGAAAAAAATATGAGAAAAGGAAAAACGTGGAAACAAAGTCCTTGTAAATAGGGTTAAGGGGGTGAAGAGAGGGCAGGGAAATGGAGAGAAAATAAGAACCAAGATACATTGTGTGAAAGTACAAAATACCAATGATTAATGCAACTGTATCGCATATCTAAATTGTACCAATGAACTTAATGAAAGAGAAAAACAAAGAAAATGGCTCCTTTGTATGGAAGAGATGCCTCAGAACATGCACTTTTGGATCATTTTGCCATTAATAAATCACACACACAATCAGGTAAGAAGGTTCCTGAGTGTAATCCCACCATTTTGGGTGGCTGAGGCAAGAAAATCACCACGTGGCATCTAAACCTGCCAAATTTAGTGATTTAACTAGGCCAGATTACTGTTGATTCTTTTATTTATTGATTAGAAAAATAAAAATTATACATTTGTTTACCATGTGCAACATATTTTTGAATATGTATACATTGTGGATTGGTTAAATAGACTTATTAACATGTATAACCTCATTACGTCTCATTTTTTCATTGTGGGAAAATAAAATTTTCTTATTCAGCAATCTCCCCACATATATTATCCATCATTACAATCGCAATGACTTAGTGGGTATCTGAAAAAATTACAGGAGGATATAGTTCAACGTGAAGAGCCAAGGTTCAAGGCCAAATATTTCAAAAGTAAAAAACTCAGTAGTTAGATGATACATCAGATAAAAAGATACACAGATAGATGTTGAAATTGATAAAAATAAGTGGCCATTGATTTATTTAGTATGGAGACAAAGATGAGCCATATAGGTTTTTCTGTGGTTGTGGAACCCCAAGACATGACCGCCCTTCCTTGGCAACATCTCCAAACAGAATGTGGAACCCTTGCTAACCGGCCTCACAATCCAGTAGCAGCCGTCTCCCAAGCTCACTTGGGCGGAGACGGTCAGAAGCGAACATGCTGAGCTGCTTCTCCACTCCGCAAGGCGGCAGCCTCAGGACCCCAGCCAGAGAAAGTATCTGTGAAAGATTGAGAAGACGGCTGACTCCATCCAGCCGCTGCAGGCCGCACTGCAGCAGCCACACGACTGTCACAGACACCCCAGGGAAGGTCTCCCCGGGAGTGACCACCAGTGCCCTACCAAAATCAAGGCGCCCCAGGGAAGTCTCCCTAAGCCCAAATACCACCGGCGCAGAAGCTGGGAAGAGCGCAGGGCAAGTATCACCACGCCCAGAAACACCCAGTCACTCTGGGCAGGTCTCCCCAGAGCCAGACACAGAAAACCTAGAGAGTCCAAGTCCAGGGGCAGAGACCGAAGTCACAGCCCTCGGCCCCCAAGAGACACCGAGAAGCCTCGTGTACATCCACCCGGGTCTGGCCGCTGCTATTGGAAACAACTTCACAGAGAGCCTTGTGGAACTCCGGCCAGTATGGTCCGTGCAGGCAGTCAGGCCGCACTCGCTCGCCAAGCGCTTGCCCATTTTCCTGGACAGCCAACCCGTCTATGGTCCCTTCTTCCCGGGCACCTCCACCACCCACACCTCTACCCGATCAGCTCTGATTTTGAGAAGAGACATCATGACGTCTTTTGAGAATTACAGCTCCTCCGAGGGCCTTCGTGATAAAGATCGAGACGTGTGGTGTTTGAACAATAAACAGCTTTTCACCCCAGATTGGATAGAAGAGGAAGGAGACCCGTATACTGCGTCACCTCAGTTGGAGTTAGAAGAGGCCACTAGGCTTTCTAAAATAAAGGATTATGAGCTCTTAATTCCAGCGTTGCCTTGTGAACCAGAACATCCTAAAGTGCCTTGTCCAGGAGAAGAGAAATCCATCCGGCACAGAGCTGCAGGCCGCTGGAGAAAGCTGTATTGTGCAAATGGCCACCCTTTTCAAGTCAAACGCTTCAGCCGTGTAGGGGGCCTTGGCCGCCAGGTGTATACGTGCACCCGCTGTAAACTCTCGGTGCACAAGAAGTGCCACCAACTTGTCACAGTTCAGTGTGGGCAGCGTTCCTACCATCAGAGCCCATGGTGCCAGTGGATCCATCAACCATGGCGTCAGACCCTGCGCAGACAGCGATCCCACGAGACAGTTCAACTCATGAGGCTTTAGAACGAGTTGATGAAGAGAATGAAACAGTGAACAACAGGGAAAGTAGCAAAGCTTCACCTGGTTTAGGTCTTCAGGACTTCAATTTGCTTCGCGTGATCGGCAGAGGAAGTTATGCAAAAGTACTGTTGGTTCAACTGAAAAAATCCAATCGTATGTATGCAGTGAAAGCAGTGAAAAAAGAGCTGGTCAACCCTGACCGGGTCCGGACAGAGAAGCACGTTTTGGAGCAGGCATCCAACTGTCCTTTTCTTGTTGGACTACATTCCTGCTTCCAAACAGAAAGCAGACCGTTCTTTGTCATAGACTATGTAAATGGTGGAGATCTACTGTTTCATATGCAGCAACAAAGAATACTTTCTGAAGAACCTGCCAGGTTTTACTCTGCACAAATCAGTCTGGCATTCAACTATCTCCATCAGCGAGGGATACTGTACAGAAATTTGAAATTGGACAATTTACTGCTGGATTCAGAAGGGCACATTAAACTTACTGACTATTGCATTTGTAAGGAAGGCTTACAACCAGGCGACACGACCAGCACTTTCTGTGGCACTCCTAATTATCTGTCTCCAGAAATTATAAGAGGGGAAGATCATGGCTTCAGTGTGGGCTGGTGGACTCTTGGAGTCCTGATGTTTGAGATGATGGTTGGAGAGTCTCCATTCCATCTTGTTGAGAGCTTTGCTAACCCTTATGAAAACTCAATCGATTATCTCTTGCAAGCAATTTTAGAAAGAGACATTTTTGTACCTCACTGTCTTCCTCTAAAAGCTGCAAGTGTCCTGTATGGTTTTCTGAACAGGGCCCCAAGGGAACAATTGGGTTGTCATCCTCAAAGGGGATTGGCTGATGTTAAGAAGCATTCCTTCTTTTGAAATGTTAACTGGTACATGATGGAGCAAAAGTGGGTGGTGCCTCCCTTTAAACCAAATATGTGTGGGGGATTCGGTTTGAACAACTTTGATCCTCACTTTGCTAATGAACCTGTCCAATTCTCCCCAGGTGACAGTGACATAGTGAGGAAGATCGAGGGGTATGAATTTGCAGGCTTTTAGTATAACAATACTCTATCCATGTATGGAGAAGAATGGGTCTGAACCTCATTTTTCAGCTATGCATTCTGCTTATGTTGCCATTTAATGCTTGGAAAAACTTAACAGCCTGGGTAGAATTAACCATTCCATAACTGTCTGGAGTCTAATTTTAATTTCTTGCTTTGAAGTTATATTTAGTTATAATACTTACTTCTTATAGTCTATCATAAAGAATACTGATTTTTTTGTGGTTGTTGATAGAGTTACTCTTTATCATTTGACTTAAATAAAATGAGGCAGTTGCTTGTTGACCAACCTTATAAACACATTCCATTGGTGAGTGGAGACAGACTGCCTAACATTTTTTTCTTGGTATTTACCATACAGAAAAATAATTTGTCTTTTAAATAGAATGTCTTAACTGTGCTTGTTTTTCTCCAAACCACATTACTTGTATTTTTAGGCCCCACTTTATGTAGTTATTAAGGAAATCCAAAAAATAATAACAATTTTGAATATGTCTATGGAAAACACATATATTATAGTTCTATATCCTTAAGTTTCTTCTTTAGTAATTAGGGTAACACATGAAATAGATAGTAGAGTTCATTTTAGGAGCATGGCTCTACTGATTTTTTAAGAATAATTAGTGGTTAGCAATTTATTTAAACAGTTTCCAGATGCAGCATTCTTCGATTTATTTTAGCATCATTTTTTGCAAAGGACTTCTAAAGTGACTGTGATTATCTAAATAAGTTTAATAAATGTCACAGTCTTAGTAAGATGTAAGTTTAGGTAAGCTAAGTTTTAAATTTAGAATGATTTAAAATTTGTAGGCATTTAATACATTATCCCTGTCTTTTTTGATAGCCCCATTTCATTAGAAATGTAACTTTTCCAAAGTTTATAGTCATATAGTGTCTTTTCCTTAAATAACTAAGTTTAAAAATAATGAAAACCTCAAAAGAAAATGTTTAGGTACATTCATATGTTTTTTTGAAAGATATTTATATTTCTCTTAATGACTAGAACTTGCTTGAAAACAAAAAGCAGTATGGATATCATAAACTGACAGAGAAGCTTGACATGTCAGAAATATATTTATATCCATGATATTTCTTTTAAGTGTTGCTCTTTCCCATATGGCATTTCAGAATCGCAAAGGGAGTTATTTATAATGTATACTGCTGGGTCCATATTAGAAGTATCTTGGGCCTCTGGATCTCATTTTTAAAACTATAAGAACTATATTCATGGGAAAATATTTTAAGATGATGTAAAGAGCCAGTTTCAACTTTACGAACATTTTTGAAAAGCTTTCAACCAAATGACTTCATTAGATATGTGCTCCTTTCCCAACAAAATCTGTGCAGTTTTCTAAGATGATGTACAAATGGTGAGCATTTGTCTTTCATGAAGTTTTAACCTTTATTCAGGGTGGTCTTTTGTTTTAAAATTTTTTAAATAGTGAGATTTACTTGTATATTTTATGCAGAATTGTATTACAAATAAGTTTTTAATACTGTTCTGTTTTTTTTGGAGTCTTTAAGAGTAATGCTAGTTCTTTTCATATGATTCAGAAGTTCTTTCGAAATATTTACTAGGGGAATAAGGCAGTTTAGAGTAAGAATGGCTGGCACTTTGGTGTTTGGGGAAATAATTTATTTTGTGTATTTTATGCATATGCAGCCCCAATTAAATATCAAGTACTGTACTAGTTCAGTGATAACACATTTACTTTATAATTTTGTTTTGATTTTTGTCATGTAGAATACTGCCTTGGTCATCATGATGTAATTTGTATTTGTGTACCTTTTTAAATATTTTTAAATAAAATAGAAAAATAAAATACCTTGTGCTCCCTAAAAAAATAAAAAAATCAGCCATTGTTTTCAGCCAATGCATATTTCCTAAAAATATTCGATGAGGACATTGGTGTTAGAATTGAAAAACACAATTAGAACTTCAACACTGCAGAAGTTACTCACACATGGAAATTTCAGGACTTTACATTCTTTCTGGATGAAAGAAGTCTGGGAGTATATAAGTGGGGCATGTTTAAGAATCCATGTATGAATATATATTCATGAACATAAAAATAAAAACTTGCACTTTGCTTTTTAAATCACAATTTATCTTTCTTCAAGTCACAATGTTCTGTCAGTGCTATCACTCTCAAGTGTGGCATTAATTTATTTCTAAACAACTTCTGAAAATGTAGCAGATAGCAGTGTTTTCTAATTGTGTATCAAAACCTAATTCTTTTTCATTGAACATATTTTTATTGGTGCACATTTTTAGTACATAATGATTGCAGTCCTTGTGGGGACTTGGTACAGGTACGTAACACATTGTAATCCATTTTTCATCCCCTTCCCTTCCCTTTCCTCCCTCTCTTGGTCCTCTTCCCTTTTACAAAAGATCTACCTACTTCTACCTATTTTTCCTTAGACTTTCTTTTCTTTCTCAGTGTCCTGAGCTACTTATGGTAAATATTGGAAGATAAAATATCTTAAACTTTCACCTGTGGCTTCACCTAATTTACACACACAATTTATTGAAATTTAAATAAACTTGCATCATTTGTAAAATTGTGTGTGCTTTTTGGAATAGTAATTTTAGGCTTATATATTTTTTTTCTTTTACTGAAGTATGACACAGAAGAAAGGCCACATAGCTGAGGTGTGTGCAAAACGGTTTCCTCAAAGTGAACACTCGCTTGTACTCAGCCTGAATTAAGAAATTGAACATTGTCTACTTGCCAGAGGTCAGCTTCATGCTCCACGCCCCTCATAAGTCATACCTCATACCCATTACACTGAACTCAAACTGTGACATGATATTCTCCATTTCTCAGTTTTATGTGGATGGAGTCATGTATTATGGAACTATGCTTGTGTCCTGACTTCCTTTTTTTAGCAGATCCTTTATTAGATACTTTATTACTTTACTAGCTACTTTATTAGATACTTCTATGTTGCTGCATGTAGTGGTAGCTCAGTTACTTTCATCAGTATATACTTCGTTCATTGGTCCTTTCATTATGGATAGTAGTTCTGCTGATTCTATAATCAGTCTATTACAAATGATGCTTCTATAGGAATTCATGTATATTTTGATAACTATATGTGTAAGGTTTTGGGGGGTGTATATCAAGAAATAGAACTGACGTGCTAAAAATTACAAGCTTACTCAGTTTTAAAGCATACTGCCAAACAGTTTTCTAAAGTAGCTGTGGCAATTTAAACTCTTAACAAGAAAAGTACAAAGAATTTCAATAACATTTAAAACTTTCAAACATTTATTGGTTTTAGTCCTTCTGGTAGGTTTTAATTTCCATTTCCATTATGATATATAATTTTAAACGTATTTTCCTAAGTCTATTGGCTATTTGGATATTTTTGAAATTAGGTGTCTGTTCAAGAATGTTGTCCATTTTTCTATTGATTTATTCATTTTTTTATTTACCTATAAAGTTCTTTAAATATTCTTAATATTATTTTCTTGACAGAAGTATGCGTTAGAATTATTTTTCCATTTCTGCCACAGTCCTAATCCTTTCTTTGAGTTCATTGTAATTTAAATGTAGATTTCTTCAACAAGTTTCCTCTGAAAATGAATAGATTCTGCTGTTTATTGAGAAATCTTTAGAACTTTTAATATAGATATTTTTCTTCCACATTTAGCCCAACATATACCTAGGCTTGGTTTTCATATACAGTAGAAAGAACAAGAGTAGAGATATTATGTTCCAGGGATTTAGCCCATTGGTTCTGCTGCCTGTCTTGCAAGCACAAGGAACTGAGTTTGATCCCGGTACCAAATATATATATATATTTTTTTCTTTTTTTCTATTGGATTGCAGTGTTTCTTTTGTGAAAACCAGGTGGCCGTGTATATGTGTTTTCCTAGATTTTACACAGTTTCTTTGATCAATGTGCCTAACTTTATACAAATATTACACTCAATATACCATTATGGATAACTTGCCTTGATATGATACTCGTCTTGCTTGTTTATTATTCAATACTGCCTTAGTTTTTCTTTGCTCTTTGTAAAATCTGTTGGCCATTTGATTTTATAAGCATTTACAAATCAACTTAGAGATGATTTATGTCTTAGAGTATTTAGTCTACTAATCTATAGATGTTGGCTATTTTTGTACTTTTAAAATAAACTTTACTATATTATAATTTGCATACATTACACTGCCTCCATCAGAAGTGTTGGACTTGTTAAATTTGGCGGAACCCACAAAGCCACCATTACATCCAAGATATCTCAAATCTTCCTAATCATCTGAAGGTTAACTTGTCCTTGGCACTTCATTCATTGCTCCTCTTCCAACCTCAAAGTACAAAAACATAAAACCTTTCATTTGAGAAGAGAACCCCTGGGACAAGAAAGGCCAAGTAGGGGATTGCATTGCAGGACTCATCTCAGTTTGACCAGCCATCCAAGTGCCAAGAAACTACTGCAGCCATGGTTCCAGGAGGCCTGGCTACTGCTTTAGGTAAAGGTAGTCCTTGGCATCATCTACATGATGCCAGTTTTACCAGTCTGCAGAATACAAAGTGAAACAGCTGTGTAGTCTTCCACCTGTATTTGAAAGGAATGTCTGGGAAGCCAGACAAAAAGGTGACAGGGTTGGGGACTCTGCAAGGAGCCCAGGAGAGGGCAATGTATAAAGGTAGAGTAATGAACCAGGAGTACGCTGGAGATCCTAGAGCGTCAGAGATGCCAGGAATACAGAGTGTAAGTTGAGGAAAGGCACTGCTGGGAGCAGAGTTAGCCCAAGCAAGAGGCCTTGTGGACTACAGCCAGCCAGGACATAGCATAGGGTTGCCTGAGCCTGCTGGAACTCACATATCACTATCATGTGACCTGCATGTTAGATATGAGGCTAGAAGTTTTAATGTTTGCTTGCTCGTTTTCAGTCTTGCTTTGATCCTGTTCTTTTTTGATCTCCTTTTCCTCCTTTTTGGAATGCGAATACTTACTTGCAGATTTTGCTTCACTCT